AGTTAATTTCTTAAAATTTAAATAATAATAATAATAATAATAAAGAGAGTAAAATAAAAAAGGTTTAATTACAATTTTTTACTATTTATTTTTTTAAAAATACTGTCGCATAAAATAACGGCATTTAATATTAAAAAAAATTTGATTTTTGTTTTGTACAATGACAACACTAAAGCCCACAATCTTTTGCAATTTGCAAATTACCAAACTCATCATTGTTGGACAAACTTAATGGATTAAACGGTTAATTGTAATTTATTACGTACAAATATAAATTATTAAATTACTAAATAATTATTATTTTCTTTTTCATATGATTGTTGGTGTTTAAGGTTAATGCACATTAATTAAGGTTAGGGTGTAAAACAAATTGAATCAAAACAAAATAATGTAAAATTAAACCAAACAGAATTATAAAATTGAATCATGTTAGAGAAGAAAATTAACCAAATCATTTAACTGAATCGTTTTTACAAAGAATTCAGTTTGAATCTTTAAAAAACCGATCATATATACATATAAAATGAGTAACTAAGTTAAATCAAGCAATTTAACAAAATGATCAATTTTTCAAAATAGAATCCGATTCAACGTCATTATTCGTAATTAATGATTTTTTCTATTATGTAATTAACAATATTATGCTCTTTGGATTGTGAATTTCACCTTTTTCATAAAAATAAATTTTGTTTGTTTGAAATATTTTTTATTATCTTCTCTTTATGTCTTTTTTGTTATTTAATCTTCAAATTGATTGTCTTGCAATGTCAAATGAGATATATTTATAAAAGGCACTCCAACGCATAAGTAAATAGCTTATTTGATGTAATAAATGTGAATATATTATGAACAATAATTTTAATTCGATATACGATACTATGTATACCAGTTGTGTTGGACTCAGGTTTCACTTAGCCTTATTTTGAGATTACCAATTAGGTAATACATCTGTATTTCACTTCTAATCATAATTAGGCTTCATCATCTTAATTACCTTTACATATAATGAGCCATTAGAAAAGATGGTCTATCTAATAAGGGGTGAGTTGGATATTAAAAAAACTATTTTAGATTTTCTTGGTTTAAAAAAAACTCTAAAGCTTTCCAATGAAATATATTGAAACATAGTTGTATATAAGATATAGTATTGAGATATCTTGTACATGCAATATTAGTTTAAAGGTGTCAATGTTTGAAGGTGTCGAATGAACATGCTCAAGTTTTCAAGGGTGTATCTGCATTTGAGAATGTCGAATAAGTATCCCCAAATGCAAGTGAATGTGTTGGCATCTAAGGGTGTTGAATGAACATGCTTAGGTTTTCAAGGGTGTATTAGCATCCAAAGATATCAAATGAGTATCCTTAGATACTAGTGAATATGTCGATGTCTGTGACACCCTCTACCCCAACATAAATATGAAATCATGATAAAAGGAACGTATTATTGAGTTAAAAATGTTTAAAATTAAAACAACAATTCTAATGACGTGAGAGTAGAGAATTCACATTCATCAACTTAAAACATTATCAAATGCGAAAAAGATAAAACATAAGTTTTTCCAAACAAAATACATTATTGAAATCCTAATTACGCCTAGCTATGCCCCGATGTCACATATCTTATCAGAGCATGCCCAAATGAAGCCTAAGCTTCATCACCAACATCCTCATGCTGATAATCACCTGCAACACAATTTTAAACACATACAAGGAACAACAAGGGAGTAAGAAACATCTCACTCAGTTCTAAGTGTAGAAATAATAGTTAGGTAACACACACACAATTCATACAATCACAGTTATAGTCACACATTATTTAGGTACAAATTTAAATTATACATATAATAATAACACATGCATAATCATTCATCATGCATTATTATATTATAATTATAATTAAATTGTTTCTCTATCTCATATTTTAATCAAGAGATTTCTTAATAATTAAACAACTATAAATATTTTACATTATAATAAATAATTACACATAATAAAATATTAATTTTTTTTAACATAATTCAATCGAGGACGGATACCGGTACGGGTACGGAGTGACTATGTATATACCCGTACCCGTACTCATACCGGTTTAACATATCGGGTTTTACTCGTACTCGTACCCGTACCCAGTCAAATCGAGTATTCCTCATCAAAGTCAGGACGAGTTCTGATATTACCCACGAGAACGAGTTTATTTGTCATCCCTAATATTTATACGTACATGAGGCTTACAAAAATAGAGATAAAAAAGTAGTTAAGAATTTCATTATCTCTTTTATAAATTTGAATAGTTATTTTTTATTTCAATATGCATTGGTATAGATCATTATTAGTATTTTAATTTAAGTATTTCACAATCTAGATATTTATTATACATAATTAAAATTTATAATAAAATATATGTATAAATAAATATTATATTTAAATATATAAATAATATTTTAAATTTGTATAAATAAATTTTTTAACATGTAAATTATACTTAATTATACTTTATATTTAAAATACATAATTTATGTTGCAACATAAAATTATTTTAATTATTGATATTTTACTTTAAATAAAATTATTTTATAAATAAGTATGATGAACAAAAAAGCTTAATTAAATAAAAAAAATTTAACTCTAAAAATACTGTCGCATAAAATAACGGCATTTAATATTAAAAAAAATTTGATTTTTGTTTTGTACAATGACAACACTAAAGCCCACAATCTTTTGCAATTTGCAAATTACCAAACTCATCATTGTTGGACAAACTTAATGGATTAAACGGTTAATTGTAATTTATTAAAAAAGGCTGAGGAGGAAAAAGAGTACGTCACCTGAATTTTAAAGTTAAGAGAAATAAAATTGAGGTGGGTGACATTCCAAGTTCCGAATTTCCCTTCGGAGGGGTCTATTCTTGCCTCTCACCCCACCAAACAAGGTCGCCAACTTTAAATGTTTGTGGCCTGACCTTGGTCTTGCTTTCCTTGTGGTTTGTTGCAAACCTGGTCACGAAAAGCAGAGTGCTCTTCCATGTATGTACCCGGTAGCTCGGGCACGGAGTTCGTCCATATCAGCGGGAGCTCGGCGACACAGGCTGTCCACAAAAGGTCCCGGCTTGAGCGCCATGAGCATGGCGTGTAGGGCGACCTCGGGATTCAAGTTGCGAATCTTCACCAAGATGCCAACAAAACGTTCCATGAACGTCCGTAGTGGTTCGTCGTCGCCCTGTCTGAGGCTGGCCAGAGCAGCTGACGTTACGAGGTGAGGTCGACTCGTTGCATATTGCACCGTGAATCGTCTGACTAGAGTGCCGAAGCTGTCAATTGACTCGGCAGGTAGCTGGGTATACCAGTTGAGTGCGGCCCCTTTGAGCGAGGTCGGGAAAACCCTACACAAGATAGCATCATTGTTAGTGTAGAGGTTTACCTGGGTCGTATACAGGTCAATATGTTCATCGGGGTCCGTCGTGCCATCATAGCGATCAAGGTGGAGAGGCTTCCATCTGCGGGGGAGTGGAGTCTCCATGATGCCATCCACAAAAGGATGACGACGGAAAGTTTCTTGACCCTCTGTGACACGAGTGGGGGCCCTGCTGACATTCTGAGTCGACTTGTGCGTCGGTGCATGAGACCGATGCGTGGCAGGTTGTGGAGTCGGTGCTCTGGTCGCAGTTCGGGGTTTAGAAACTGAATGCCCTTTGTCCTCATTCAGGTTACTCTGTAGAGGGGGTTGATCTGAGGGACGCCGAGGGAGTTGGGCACGAATGCGCTCGTTCTCGGCGCGTAGTGCCGCTAGGTCGACTTCATTAGCGGTGCGCATTGCTGCTAGATCAGTTTCGTGCTTGGCACGCATGCTTTGTAGGTCGGCGGCGTGTTGTTGCCGCATTTGTTCGACCTGGTCGATCAGCCTCCTCAACGTTGCTGCGTCACTATCCATGGTAGTTGAGTGATCCAGGTCGTCTGTTGCGCGTCTACTGTGGCTTCTGGTGAAAACCATACAGGTGGTCGATAAGAGCTGTCTTGATCGGCCCCACGGTGGGCGCCAAATGTTCTTACCGGAAATCTGCTGTAGAGCTGATCTGCCAGGTAAGATCGGTAAGCCTCCTTCACGGGTACGCTGGTGCTCCAAGATGGGGGTGGTACCTGCCAAAGAGACTCCGATGCTAAAGTTAGTGTTTGTGGGAGTATGAGTCTCGTATAAATAATGCACGTACCTTTGTGTGAATTAGGGTTGTGTTGGGCCTTGGGCCTGAGATCTGTTATGATCTGATTAGATAGTAGATCTCGTCTGGAGCGAGATCCCCGAGATCAGTTATGATCTGATTAGATTGCGGATCTCATCTTGAACGAGATCTTCGAGATCAGTTATGATCTGATTAGATTGTGGATCTTATCTGGAGCGAGATCTCCGAGATCAGTTATGATTTGATTAGATTGCGGATCTCGCTTAGGCCGAGATCTCCCAGTGCGTGCCCGAGGTTATTCCACGCTGTGATACCGAGCTCGAGCTCGGCATGGCAGTACGCATAGTACATAAACCATTTTAAATTTTGTTATTTAATTTTTTAAAATTTAAATTATGAGTTACACATTTGATGATTTTGTTAATTAATCATTTGATAATTGATAATTCAATTATTTATGAATAATAATATGTTAGCTATTAACGTGAGATATTTTGATACGTTTCCCAAGCGTGTGGTTCAGCGATAGGGGTTGATCCACGCTTAAACAAGGTCAGGGGTTTGAATCCTGTCTTGTATATGCAGCCGCGTTAAATCTTGGAACCAGCTATCCCACCATTTGAAGTACCTCAAATGAAGAATGGGCTAAGCTAGTAAAAAAATTTGAAAATTGAATGGTGAAATTAAAAAAGATAAAAGAAATAGAATTAAGGGAATGAATATATGATATATGATATATGATATATGGTATGTTGAAGTAATGCAATTGGTGGAAGAAGAAAAGCTAACGGCGCTAGAAAGTAGAAACTGCGTGCGTGGTGAATAGAATAGAAAAGCTGAAAAGAAAAGAAATTGTGGTTTATCCCCACGTCAGCTCCACCCAAATTCTCCATATTTTGTTATTATCCGCTCACCCACACCAGTCACCAACCACATCTCTTAAATCCCTAATTTCTCTTCTACGCCTTTCTAGACAACAAACCAAACTTAAACTTAATCCTCTTTACTCTTGACTCTTGACTCCCTTGAAAAATATAAGAGAAACCATCTTTATCCCCTCCATCCACCACTGCACTCTTGTTCATACATGCACCATGAAGATTTTCAACCCCGCTGAATGCTTTCTCTGGAACGTGGTAGCGGCATGTCCCTGGGACACCATATTCGTGAAAAGCAGCAACCTTTCCCACATGGGTGCCTCCCATCTGCACCAATTCAGAATGTCCATCCTCTCTAGGCCCAACTAGGCACACGGCACACCCCAACATCCAAAACACACACACACAGCAGTAAGAAAACCCATGGATCCACAAAGCGAAAGCCAAAGCGAAAGCGAACGGAGCATAATCTTCAACAAGTACGAGATGGGGCGGGTCCTGGGGCAGGGAAACTTCGCCAAAGTGTACCACGGGAGAAACCTGGAGACCAACGAGAGCGTGGCCATAAAGGTGATAAAGAAAGAGAAGCTGAAAAAAGAGCGTCTGGTGAAGCAGATAAAGCGCGAGGTCTCGGTCATGAGGCTGGTGCGCCACCCCCACATCGTGCAGCTGAAGGAGGTGATGGCCACCAAGGGCAAAATATTCCTGGTGATGGAGTACGTGAAAGGCGGGGAACTCTTCTCCAAGGTGGCCAAGGGAAAGCTCTCGGAAGACCTCGCCAGGAAGTACTTCCAGCAGCTGATAAGCGCCGTTGACTTGTGCCACAGCCGCGGCGTCACCCACCGCGACCTCAAGCCCGAGAATCTCCTCCTGGACCAGAACGAGGACCTGAAAGTCTCCGACTTCGGACTCTCGGCGCTCCCCGACCAGCGGCGCGCGGACGGCATGCTCCTGACCCCCTGTGGGACCCCCGCTTACGTGGCACCCGAGGTCTTGAAAAAAAAAGGCTACGACGGCTCCAAGGCTGATATTTGGTCCTGCGGTGTCATCCTCTACGCCCTTCTCTCCGGCTACTTACCCTTCCAAGGCGAAAACGTCATGCGAATTTACCGAAAGGCTTTCAAAGCTGATTACGCTTTCCCTCACTGGATTTCCCCCCAGGCCAAATCCCTCATTTCCAACCTCCTCCTTGCCGACCCTGCTAAGAGGTTCTCCATTCCCGATATAGTCAAGGATCCTTGGTTTCAAATTGCTTTCATGACCCCGATTGCGTTTTCCATCAAGGAGGATGCACTCAACCACAACCTCCATTTCCACCACCACGAGGCTAAACCTCCCAGGCCGTTTTACAATGCGTTTGAGATTATTTCGTCGCTCTCCCACGGTTTTGATCTCAGGAGCTTGTTCGAGACCAGCAAGCGCTCGCCCTCCGTCTTTATATGCAAGTTTTCTGCTTCCGCCGTGCTGGGCAAGCTTGAGGCCGTCGCCAACAAGATTAACTTCAGGGTCACCGCCAAGAAGGAGTTTGCGGTGACCATGCAGGGGGCGGAGGAGGGCCGCAAGGGGAGGTTGGCCATGACGGTCGAGGTTTTCGAGGTGGCGCCGGAGGTGGCCGTCGTGGAATTTTCCAAGTCCGCCGGAGACACGCTGGAGTATGTTAAATTCTGTGAGGACCAAGTGAGGCCGTCGCTAAACGACATCGTTTGGAGCTGGCAGGGGGATGCTAATAGTAACAACCACCACTCCAACAGTTAGTATGAGTTTATGTGTCACTTGCATTTGCAACATAAAATAACAAGAGTTGAGAGTTGTTTATTTTATTTACAGTTTCTACTTATGATTCTAGGTAGTTTGGTTTGGTACCATGTAAATTTGGAGTTTGTGTTGATGGACATGGTGTGTGAATTTAATAGAGCAAAAATGATCCCCAAATTATCTATCACTTTTGGATTATTTTTGGTTTTCATTAGAGTTTCTGTTGGCTCCATTTAAGTGCCAACATGCAGCAAGTGTTACAGGAAAACGAAAATCGATTGGTGGAGACTATGGGTTGGGTCCCTTGATGTTAGAAAAAGGGGTGATGTGGATTTGGGAGGGTAGGGATGGGGAGGCTTCCATTTAATTTCGAAAAGGATAATTGGAACTTGGAAGGCCCCGGATTGGCCTATGGAGCATAAAGATTAAAGTTGGGGTGTTGCTGTTACCGTGTTAGCGTTAATCCAAGTCTTTATGCGATTAAGTGGCTGTTTGGACCACTTTCATTTTCATACATGTTTTTATTTGAGATCCGTCCAGGGGACGACTGGGCAAGATTAATGAACTTCTTTCGTTCGGTATATCGATTGTTCCGAGATGATGAGCTTATGTGTTAGTCGATGTCGTGCGGCATTCGGAAACTGAGCTCGAGCTCGATCTCAATATCTTATGTGGATAGTACAATACATAAAGAAACGTGCCACGCTATTGGATGCCAAACGCACACTAAAGAGCTTATTAGTTATCATGTGGAGCGGTGATGGGAGCCAGACACAGTACAAGGGAGGATATACAAAAGTCATTTTCTTAACATGGCACTGGCACGACACGCCATTTGGTTTAGATAGATATTTTAGTGGCTACATAACAATTTATAATCACTTTATTAATTTTAATTTTAAAACAAAACAGATTTTTATCAATTTAATACAATGTGTTAATAGATATTATTTTTAGAATTTAATGAACTAGTAATGTTTTTTTTAATTTTTTTTTGTTACAATTAAAAGTCATGCCAGATATGTTTTATAAAATAATTATTATCATATTTACGATTAGATTACAGTTAGGTCACTAAAAAAAATAGTTAGGCGTGTTAAGTAGTAGTTTTTTTTTCAAGTTCTGCAAACTGTCAGAAAATATGATATTTCTGTCATACTTACTTTCTCTTATTTTTATTATAAAATAAATATTTCCAATTTTGAGTTATCTTTACTTATACTTTATTTTTAACACAGAAGTATATGTTAAATATTAAATTAATAAACAAAACTTTAACTAAATAAAAATAATGTATAAATCAAGCCGACTTTGGAAATTTTAATTAAATTGAACTAAATTCAAATTTAAATAATTCCTTCAGCAGTCAAACTTTAAGACTATTTAGTTTAGTCGAATCATATAAGTCTCCTGTTGTGTATCCCGAATTCGGGGTTTTGTTGAAAATTTTGATGGACCAAAAGAGTAAATTGCAAGACAGCGAAGAGTTGAATTTTCTATGGTTTCATGATTGTTACTTATTGTTATCATAGTCTCTTGGTTGTGCACTTTTTGCATTTGTGTCCCCTGATGTACAGGTTTTAACCCAAAGCAAACAAAAGATAATCGAACGGGTAAACCTGTCTGTAGTTAGTTTCTGTCTATTTTATCCATCTTCCGTGGTGCCAATTGAAAACCTCCCAATCCCAAAGGACATTGAAAAAATTCTTCCCTTTTCCACTTTATTTATCTTTTCTTTTTTCGTTAATAAAGTGGGTATTGGGCAGTGGCAGTGGACGATGCATTGCGAAGTGTCCCTTTTGAGAGAAGAAATGGTGTTAAATTGTACCTTACACAGAAAGAAAAAAAAAAAAATCATGATTCATGGGCCCTCCACAACGTAGAACGTACCATCAGCTGACTCGGATCATACTCACTTTTGTCATATGAGGCTCCAAATGCTCTGCAACAGAGGATTCCTTTTTTTTTTTTTTTTTTTTTTTTT